TCATATTTTTCTGTGTTGGTGTAATGTACTCAGGTAAATATGATGCTTGAGATGTTACTCTGAGTGTATATCCACACCAGATGTTACTCTGAGATGTTACTCTAAGATGTTAAATCAGTCGTTGATTGGTATAACTCGTATTAAATAATAATAATAATACTATGCTTGAGATGTTACTCTGAGTGTATATTCCAAGGTCGTAGGTTCGATTCACACCGTGGTCAGGCATAATTTTCAAGCTTGCCTGGTGTGGATATACACTCAGAGTAACATCTCAAGCATAGTATTATTATTATTATTTAATACGAGTTATACCAATCAACGACTGATTTAACAAAGCTTGAAAAAGTCACTATCCGGTGGATAGCCCTAACCAGCCTTCGTATAACCAGCTCCTGAAGTTGACTACCGGCATCTTCTGTTGAAACCTACAATGACACAAAGTGGTTGACTATAACATACATGAACTTTTCTTGTGTAGAAATGTGAATTTGGCGAGTATGCTTGGGACGCTCATGTTGCTTGCGGCAATGGATGGACACCTTCAAACATAGAAAAAGACAATGCAGAATTTGGGACAACCACTATAAGGCAAAACCTTTGGCTGAATATTTACTTTAAAAATCCTGCAATTGCATCTGCTCTGATTGTCTACCTTGCTACTGTCGTTCCTGACATGGACGAGCCTTCTCCGTTGATCAAGTTCGAACTACATGGGGTCAAACCTGACGAGAAAACGGCCGCAGAATACCGAGTTACTAATTGCAAGGAAAATCCTATCACCATTCCAATCCAGCATGATATGACCAAACCTTTCTTCAAAACTCGTTATATTCAAATGAAGTTTGGTACAAATATCAAGATCGCCGCGGTGTCGTTACGCTCTCCAAAATATTTTGATCCAGTGGGACTACAGGATTGCACAGGTATGGTACGCTGGAATGGATTGGAATTGAATGGGGTGGAATAAAACAGGGGCGGCGGAATAGGGGTGGGGCTACTGTCGGGGTGTGACCGCTAGAAGTAAAAGTGACCCCCCCCCCCAAAAAAAAAGAAACAGAGATCAGAGTTGAACATTCTTGATTGCTGTCTAAAAGGCAAAGAAGTGCGATTTTCTCCTTCTGATGCATGTAAACGAGTAGATGAGTTACGAATGTTCTGAGTGTACTGTATGTAAACTCATATTCACCAGAAGAAGAGAATCGCAACAAATATTGCAACGATTCGATAATAGTTGAAACGTCTTGTTGGTGGAAGTTATCGAATGGAAATTTATATACATTTTATTTGACCTATAATTTCGATAATTTCCATCAACAACACCCTTCAAACTCGAGCCAAAGGGCAAAGGTAAGAGTTTGTATGTCTGATAAACACGGACGCGAATGCTTTATATGGCTTGTGAAACGTCTTGATGAGAACATTCGTATTCTTCAACAATTTAAAATAAATGAATGATATTTGGTGAGAAAATTGAACTGAAAGTTTAGGTTATAAATCAGCATGATTTTGTATGAGACATGCAAGCTCCTTCACGCTCGTGATTTCTCTGAGTTTTTTTTCATAATTATCAGTGAGTTTGACAAAATTCTTTTACAGGTTCACAATTATTCCATCCTGGCACACAGAAGTGTCGTAACTATGAATGCAATATGCCAACTTGTTCGAAATTGATGTTGAAGCATTCTGTGCCGATAAAAAAATGTAAGAAAGGCAGTCTGGAAGGGAGTACATGTAAGGTGCGGTGTGCTGACGGCTTCACTCCAGTTGCGCCTTTTGAGATCATGTGTTCTGGTGGTGAATGGCTTGTCGATGGCGCGGCACCGCAATGTACGCCGGTAGATTGCGACAAACCAAGAATACAGAATTCTGAAATACGTAAGTAGTTCAGTTTACGCTAGAACTTTTAAGAAGGCCTTCGGTACAGATTGCGTTAAAGGAACATGGAACATATAAATCCGGGGGTGTAGAAGAAGGGGGCTCACCCCCCCCCCCTCCCATTGTTAGAAGCTCGCCCCCTTGTTAAAAATTTCGTACCAGTTTGGGGGATGACTTCTCGATATTTTTTCAGATTGCAAACCTGGAATGTTCTTTGCAACTGTAGTGTTAAAATGATGTGGTCATGATGTTAGTAATCTGTACTGGATTACTATGATCATACCATTACATGTAGGTCATTTATGTGGCTCCAACATGAAGTCCTTTCTTCAAAAAACAGTAATTGAAGAATTACTAGCACCAAAATACTGGAACTTTCCATGTTTAGCACCCTCCACGCCTTGTCACCCTCACGTCTTGTCAACCCGCCCCCTCCTCTAAGAGCCCCCTCCCCCTTGATATCATTTCAGTTCTAATGACTGATTAATAAGTTTTTGAAGAAACATTTTAGATTAGCTGCTGTGGACAATCTATAACGATTATGATTAACATTTCTATAGCGCAAAGTTATATGTGGATATGATCAAATGCGCTTTACATCAAGTATTACACTTACCTAACGGACCGTTTGCATTATAGACAAAATGTTGATCTGAACAAGTCTAGACAAAAATTTCATCACAGCTTGAAAGAGCATCACAAAATTAGTAATATTCCAAAGTTTCGTTGCGAAATGTTGTAAAATGCGGATAATATAGCCTTGCGAAATTTGCAATTTTCAGTCATTTTGTATTGCAAACGGGAAATTGATGCCCCAACACCCGATTGGGCTGTCAATTTCCCGTGCGTAATGCAAAATGACTGAAAAACGGCAAACTTCGCAAGGCTATATTATCCGCATTTTACAACATTTCGCAACGAAACTTTGGAATATTACTAATTTTGTGATGCTCTTTCAAGCTGTGATAGAATTTTTGTCTAGATCAAAATTTAGTCTATAATGCAAATGGTCCATTGCATACTAACTACTAAGCCAAGACTATTTTATCTTGACAACAATTGTGACTTTCTGAACTGTGTTTACCCCAACCCACCCTGTCAACTTTCCCCGTGGGAGGAAACCGGAGCACCCGGAGAAAACCTACGACTTTCGACAGAACGTTGACTGATTCAATATAAGCCTCCACCCCCCTTGGAATATAAACCCCTCCGTGTATAAGTTCATGGGCTAATTGTTGGACGTAATATATGAACAACGAGAGTGAGTGTTTCACCGGGATATCCAAACACGAGAAAACAATGTATGAGAACACGAGCGCGAAGCGCGAGTGTTTTCATACATTGTTTTCGAGTGTTTGGATATCCCGGTGAGACACGAGCTCGAGTTGTTTATATGGCTTCTCAAATGAATCGAGACGTAACAGAATGTTTTCGTTTGCTGATTTGAATAGAATTCTTAACCAAGAATAACGTAATTAGGAATTCTATTCAAGTAATTTTGCATGCGTAATTAAGATATTTGATGAAAACACTAGTGACTTTCATCAAGTTTCACCGGGTTATCCAAGTGGCATCTTGTGATCAAATAGGTGATTATCATTGGCTGAATTGCTCATGAATTATTAATAAATTTGAGAACATTATATCTGAAATACATAATCTATAGCCGTGCTTACATTGCAGTTCCTGATTTAAAAATGTTTCATATTTGTTATTCATGGAATTTCAAAAGCACCACAGACTTCACGCTGAGTTTCAATAAATACTTCTGTTATTTTGCTTCGCCTCGTTGGTTCAATTCGTGTCCCGCTTTCATAACGCGTACTTGAATTGAAGTGCTTCCTCAATTAAAGAAGATGTTTTCATCAAAGTGTTTTCATTTTGTAATACCGACTGTGATTTTCCTGTTACTCCAAGGTACGTTTTCTGTCGTTTATAACATGTATTTATATTTCATGTTCTTTCAAGGACGCAGTCACTTCTGTGCTGAACCTAACCTCATAATAAGTGGCAATGAATATAAATCTAAACTTCACTGCAGTCTGATTATAAAAGATTGGATTAAACTTCATTGCCATTATTTGAACCGATTGTGGAGTTAAATTTTTGAGGAATGGATAAGTTCAATACTCAACTGTCTTTGCCAGTTAAGTACTGGCAATCAAATGAACAAGCTTTCATTGGTATAGGGATTCAGGATTCTTTTTACAGAAGTAAACAATGCGAAGTCTTTAATCGCATGTCATTCATTCGATCATATACTTGCCAGGAGAAAAATTGTCGACAGAATTCGTCTAGTGTGAACCAGGCCAAGGCTTAAAGCATCGCGAGAAGAAAGATGTAGTGTTTCACACGATTTCGTAGCAAAATAAATCATTTCTGCACTCTGCCCCGGCCCCATCGATCTCGCAAAGATTAATACTTAGAGAAGGAAACATTTCAGTAATATATCAGGACAGTTCGTCAAATTGAAAGTGAAGTCTGTGCGAGTTTTCCCAGGAAATCTAGCTAGAAAGATAGTGTTTCGCATGGTTTCAGGACAAAATAAACCATTTGGCATCGTCTACACGACTACACAATGACATTGAAACCAGTAATAGACTAATAATGAGTAAATTCAACTTAAACACTATACTGAGCAATAACGCGAACGTGCATGCATGTCTACGAAGTTAAATAAATCAGCGAGTTAAATGTGAGGCTAGCGCATTACCTGTGTCTATATAAGTTCAATATATCACGCATACATGCAATATATGTAGATGTACAGTACATACTACAAAGATGCCAAATTAAAACTGAACCCAGTGCGTCTGTATGAATAATATTTATATTAATAAACCCTGTGTTCATTTTATTTTGAGCCTGACTGCAAATTATTTGCGTTTTAATAACTGTTCCTGATTTTCTCACCTAGCTTTCGCGTAAAACCCACTTTATAATTGCATAAACATAACGAAACAGTTTGCAATACAAATCACCCGGCGACCAGTCGGACCAGTCCTTATAAACGGCGGCCATCTTGCTAATTAAAGGCCCTTTACACTTGCAATTTTTGCTGCGACTTCTAGTGCGAGCTCCTCTTCTGATGGATGTGAAGGAGTAGATGAGTTATGAATGTTCAGATGAAGGAACATATACTCAAAACATTCATACTCATCTACTCGTTCACATCCATCAGAAGGAGAAAATCGCAATAGAAATCGCAGCAAAAATTGCAAGTGCAAATGGCCCTTGATATTCTACTTTTTTGGCTATTGACGACGATGCGGCTATCCGACATCTACAAAAAAGGCCGTGCCGAAAACTATAGTCACAGTCTGCCCAAACAACTGCAGACTGAATATAAAAGATTGGATTAAACTTCATTGCCATTATTTGAACCAATTATGAAGTTAAATTCTGAGGAATGAATCAGAATAACTGCCTCTATTAAACAATAATGTACAGCAGCGACTGAACAGCCATGAAATCAGTTTAGTTAATTAGCTTGCATTAGCTTGATGCACGTTTAGACAAATGAAATACACTTATGTGATATAAGTCATATAAATGAGCTATGAAAGACACTGTGCCATCAACAACCATCTATTTACATGGTACTTCATCTAAACGCAAGCACACAGACACGCAACAGGAGTCCATTATTTACTTCGTTATTTATTTTTGTGTTTTGTTTCAGGCGCTGCTTGTTTCTTTGTGAAACATGTGCAGACAGGGATGTGTATTAATGACACAAGAATGCTACAGGTGGACGCGTCTTGGGGAAACTTATCTTATGTGGAACTTTCCAACAACTGTCTGGATCCAGCTGCTCAGTGTCGGTTTCTTGATAATAGTGCCATGTTCAATTTGAAAAGAAAGGGATGTTTCGAGGGAACACGTAGGGAAGGTAGTGGTTATGGTCTTCCTATGTTGTATTTGCTCCTTGCTACAGATCCTTCAGCTAATTGTCGTGATCAGGACCATGCTATAACCCAGACCTCTTGGGGAGGTTTATCTGTATATTATATACCTGGTAGTCAGACGAGGTGTGCAGTCCCTAAAACAGATGATCGACTTGCTACAACCCGAGGAATAGATCCCTACATCGGATTTATGACAAATTGTGACGATGCAGAGGATAAACGTTTTAATTTTGGTAAGTTGTTTTTATTTGTATGCAGTTAATTTGTTTGATGTCTTTGCACATAAAGTCTACATAAAAAGTTCTTATTTGTGGTTTTGCAGTTTGCATTTCATATTTACTTATTAAATTTCTCACCTACCATTGCCGCTAAGCTAGCTTAGAGGCTAGACGTAAACCACTTGTATTAAGACTTGGCTGTATATATTAAGAGCTTTACCTTATTTATACATATAAGAATGATTCAATTACCTCGCGAACTGTTCACTCCTCAATTTTGTCCTCAAAAGCAAAAACTGTATTTCCAACATCATTAATAATTCATAAGCTTATTGGCAAATCATGTCAACCATAATATGTCACGTGCAGTGGCTTTAAACCTGATAAAACACTCCTAATTAGTATTCTTTATATAAAGAATACTAATAAGGCGGTATATCTATTGAATTTGTAGCCGTGTTTGAAGTCGTTTAATAAACTCGCAGGTCGTGTTTTATTAGGTCTCTCTTTTTTTTAACCTAATAAAACACTCCTGCTCGTTTATTAAACAGTACATATTTTATGTCATCGACGAAGAAAATAAAACGCAGCAGTCCGAAGACAGAGCCTTGTTGAACTCCACATATAATTAGATTTTCCGGTTGTTCCAAATATTTCATTTAATGCCCTGAATTTTATATATTTCATATAATGCTGAATAAGAATATGATGTTTGTGATGTTACTCTGAGTGTGCATCCACACCGGGCAAGCTGAAAAGTTAGAAGTTTGCCTGACCACGGTGGGAATCGAAACCGCGATCTTTTGGATATATTAGTCCAATGCTCTACCAACTGAGCTACGAGGTAAAGTCGGTTCGAGTTGGTGATATTTCGGAACTGAGTCTAGTTCCTTCGATATCAATGTATTCTAAGATATGACATTTTTTGTGTGTGTTGGTGTCATATAAGACAGAGACTTATTGAACTCTACATATAATTAAATCACGAGCAAGACTCTATAATTGTTCCAAATATTTCATATAATGCTGAATTTCTGCATACGAATATCATGTCCGTGCAGCAATGGTGTTTTGCATTTTGTATACATTGCTATGCCGTTCAACAAAATCTCTTGTCCTACTACTTGATATTTAACAGTTATTCTACGAACTCGAGTCGAATATGAGCTGATAGCCGATGAGGCGCGTAGCGCCGAATCGGCTATCGTTCATATTCGACGAGAGTGAGTGGGATAACTGTTTTATTATATACACAAGGTCTGAATTCACAGACTTTGCTTTTCGGATATTTTCAATATTTTTCTATTTTGTTTATGTTTTTATCTTCGCTCTTTCGGCCAATTATTGTTTCAAAAATATATTTTTAACTATCAGTTTAAATTTTAAAAATTCATTTGCTAACCTGTAAACAATTTGAGAGAGTTTTTTCATTGTGTTTTTAATCTTGTAAAGGCTATTAAAACCGAACAACTTGCTGTTTTCTCGTTCGCAAAACGTCGGAAATTCAGTTTGAGCCGCCATTTTGTTTTTCTCTACTAGCAGGATATGAGCTAATATCCTGCTAATAGAGAACCAATCAGATTGCAGAATACCTCATATCCAGACCTTGTGCATGTATATAATAATGTCATTTAGTGCTCGTCATTTCTAATTTCTTTTTCTGTTCCAGGTTCAGTGACGTGTCATGGAAATATGATAAAGAATGCCAACTGTCCTAAAGATCAGTACATGGTGGTCAAGAATGCATCGTACCGTGGATTGTCTGACACAAAGACATGTGGTTTGAGTGATGATTATAGTTGTGAAGTTGATGTAACATGTCTTGTTAAGAAACAATGTGATGGTCAACATGAGTGTAATATAACTGTGAATGAAACCTTGTTCTCTGGTGATCTATGTCCTGGATTGACAAAATATCTTTACTTTGAATATCAATGTAATGATACAGCGACGTCTTTTAATAAACTTTGTGGTATGTACGGCTAATGAAATTAGGAAAGTTCAGATTTAACTTCCACTACTGCTACCTGTCAGTGGCTTAATACGCATTTGATTCGTGTAGATTAAACGTATCTGATTGATAACGGTAGTGGAAGTCAAATCTGAAACCTTCTAAACATTTTTAGATAAAGCATAATTTATCGCAAATGTTATATAAAAGCATCGATAATGAAACGAAAAACTCAAAATTGTAAAACTTTAAACTCGTGACAGTGTGACGTAAAATTGACATGTTAACTCCAGCAATTTTTGGCCTGGTCGCGTAATTTTGAAAACGGGTGTAACGGTCATTCGCTTGTTCAGCAATTATTTTACATTGCACATGTTTTTCATCAGTTTTAAAAGATCGCCGAAAAAAAAACTTTCTGCCGAAATTCAAAGGTTACCATGCAAGCCAAATAAACTGTGATGAATTGACCAACTTTTTTCTTGTTTTGTTTTTGTAGTTAATGATATATCTTTATCATATTCATCTCTACCAAATGAAGGTTTTGTAAAAATTACAACTGACAGTGGAATCAAGAATGTTTGTTGGCAAAGTTTAGGAAACGCAAAGGATGTTGTTTGCCGTGAATTGGGTTACAAACAATCAGACTCACTGGTTGAAAAGGCCGCTCCATTGGATTTAAAAGATGAAATATTTTCTGGAAGTTTAGCGTGTAATGATGGTGATACAAAATTATCTCAATGTTCGGTTACCACTTCTTCCCAAAGTTGTTCGACATTCTCGTACTTAAAATGTAAGTTTTTTACAAAAAGGATGACGCGCATGTGACTAAGGTTTGACGAATATAATGAATGAAAGAGATAAAAACAAAGTTTGCAAGATTTAATTTCCATATTTTAGGTCATATTTGTCCACGGCCCCTGCTAAAAGACAAACAAAGATTTCCTGATTCGTCATTCACTGCCTCAGCCTCTTCAGAAGGTCGCAGTCCCTCTGCAGCAAGAATATCTAGTGGCAGTTCTTGGTGTGCTCCTGTCTCGGATGGCAAACATTATCTTGAAGTGGATTTGGGAAGACTTTATATTTTCTATTATGTTGCAATATTTGGAGATAGTACTAGTTCCAAGTGGGTGGTCAAATATAACTTGAATTACACTGTTGATTTAAAGAACTGGAGATCAGTGAGCCCAACGGTAATTGCTACAGTATATATTACTTTTCAGGTTACTTATTTTATAACTTATAGTTTGTTACATGACAGAATAGTGTAACTTAAAGAAAAGAAATATTTTTGGTCTTTAGACATTTCAAGGAAACAAAAATGCTTACAATGATGCAGCCATACAAGATTTATCTGAAGGAATAACAACACGAGCTGTACGATTTACTCCATTATCATATGTTGGTCAACCGTGTATGAGAATTGAAATTTGTGGTTCTAGTATGTTATTTTTTTCTTTTGCCGTTAAAGAGGATAAATTAACAAATTAAATTATTTTTATTATGATCGATGTGTCCATAGCTCGTGTATCCTGGCAAACACAGATAAAAATGTTATTTTACTATAACTCCTTTCTTTTTAGCTCTGTTACCAGATAAACCTACAAACCTCACGGTCACTAACATCAAGTCAAGAAGTGCTGATATATCTTGGCTGGATCCTAACAACACAGGAGATGGAGATCTTACAGGATTTTGGATCAAACTGAAGAAAGAGAACTCCTTAACCGTGAATACCACCACAAATAAAATGAACAAATATAAATTACAAAGTCTCACTCCTTACACTGTGTATAAATTATCAGTCGCTGCTGGAAATAAACAAGGTTTTGGTGAAGAGACCATTACTTCGTTCCTAACATCTGAAGAAGGTCAGTGTTGAAGAGCTCGAATGTTTTTCTCAAACAAGTTTTTTATCACCAACAATAAAGAACAGCAAAAGAGGCCAGAAACTTAAAAAAGTAAAAAAGACCAGAAAACTAAATCAGGGGTCGTCTAACGTGGCTTATTGTATAATTATTCAAAATGCCTTACTTATTTTACATTTTAAGTACAAACCTTGGTTTTATTCTTCAGCTCCAAGCGGTCCTCCATTAAACATCAAAACCACATCAAGAAGTACATCATCATTGTCTTTCACCTGGGATCCTCCTGAGAAAAATAAACAAAATGGCGTCATTATCACTTATACTGCGTGTGTTTCACAGTCAGAAAATGGTCCTTGCTTGGAGATATTTATCACAAGTAAAAGAGAGTGGCTCGTCAAAAATTTGAACGCATCAACAAAATATTATGTTCGTGTTCTTGCCAGTAATAAAGCTGGAAGTAGTGTTTACAGTGGAAGTAAAGGGTTTTTTACGAATGGAAGTAAGTACAACATGTATATTTGGATATTATCTGTGGTGAAGAAAACTGTTCAGAATTTCATGTTTGCCTACTTTTATGCCGTTCAAAAACGCTACACAGAGCTTCGTTATGGCAATACATTTTACTCATTAATAATTTCACATTTTCCTCCAGGAGCGGGAAAGAAGGCCTCAGAAGTGACATCAAGTACGCTCACATTTTCATTGGAAATTCCATCAAAAACGTTTCTGTAAGTTTATCGACTTTCTGATGGTACTAAAGACTAGCTTCCGTGCTCGCCGTTGTAATATACCTGTAATATGCTGAGTCTGGACTCTATAACTTGTTTTTGTGTACTGTATGCAAACCATTTTTAATTTTCATTGCAGACATAAGTCGACACTCTGTTACATCGGGCCACATTCACATAGTCGCCATCGTCACGACCAAACAGAAACTGAACTTCCCGGCATTAGATTAGTCTTAAATATTAGGAAACTATTTGGATCTATTATTAAGAAGGTAAACTTTTGTTTTTAGTTATTTCTACGTGGTGGCTTTGAAATTAAAAGAAGGCAAGGAACCTGCATCATCTGACAGTTACGAGAACAGTGAGTTAGTGACGTATGCCGAGGCAAGAAAATCAACCAATCCGAAACCTTATATCGCTGCAATTGTTGCATCCAGCGGAGTTGATGGAAACATGTTTATACTTGGTGATGGCAGAAATACAAGTGATCCAACATCACGAAGACGCAGATCAACCTCGATTGATTACTATAATGGTCCGCTGGAGCCTGGCACTAGTTATAGTTTTTTTCAAAGGATTGTACTCAATGTCAAGGTATGGTGTTTGCTGTTTATCACACTTTAAAAGTTAAGCTTTCCCCTCTATAATTTCTATAATTTCTCAAAAATGAAATCTTTTGCCATTAACCAGGATAATATACTTAAACTACCCAAGCACTTAAAGCAGAAACGTTTACAAGAATTTTCACATAGATGCCCTAACATATAGCAGGAATAAAAATTAGCCCACACAATTCGGAGAACACGTGATGAAGTCATTTGTATAGCTATGACTAGACAGATAAAAACTAACACCTTTTTTACTATAGAATGAATATTACTCCGCAGACTGGAGTCCGGCTTCAAAAACTAACGAATATACAGGTACATACAAGGAAACAATTTAACTGTATTCATAGATGATTTGAAATTAGGTAGTAAAATCACAAGTAAAGGTTGGTCCTGACGAAATCGATTATTCATAGAAAATAATGGTAGCACATTTCTACGGTAAAAAATCTATTTTCTGTTTCCAAGATGGCCCTCGTGTACTGACCAAGATATCCAGTGATGACATAAAGGCAAAGCTTAAGGAAGGTGATCTTGTCAACCTACTGTGTTCTGCTCAAGGTGAACCTCCAATTATTTTCACCTGGAAAAAAGACCAGAAGTCATTGGAAAGTTTCTTCGAAAAGGAAAAGCCCCACCGCAGTTCTTTACTTGTTGTAACAGTGAAAGACCAAACAAGTTTTGGGAAATATATTTGTCACATCCAAGATCGATTTGAAAGCACTACTCATACCATTTGGGTCGAAGAACTAGAAGATACAGGTAATCTCGCTTTCTAAATTTTATTTAAAAAAGACGTGGATGCTTTGGTTGCTACGCGGGTTAAAATAAATAAATGCAAGCCCCGAACAAAACAAGTTTCATATGACGAAGGCTAAACAAGTTGTACATTTCATTATAATACATGGTAATATTCTTAATCCTTTCAAATTCCAGGCAAGGATGAAAATGATGATGGTTCTGAAAAATATCTTGCTGGAATTATAGTGCTAGTAATTCTCGTGATAATTTTGCTCGTTATCCTTGCTTATTTCATCTATCAAAATCGTCGACTCAAATCATCAAAGGCAAACCCGGAGAACAAGAGCAAGGACAGAAATAATTCAAAAGATACTTATGAAAATCCTGACAAAATCAAAGATGATGCGAATTATGAACAAGTGGAAAATGAACAGTCGACGTATACAGCTCTCAAAAGGACTGGGAAGGAAGAAAATGATGATCACTTATATAGTCATCTAAATGAAGTACATAAGGACTACGTGAATCAGAAGGAAACTGGAATTTAATTAAGAGGGCTCTTGTACGAAGCCCGTTTGGTTTATCTAATGGACAAGCTCAGTATAGAAAAACAAGTCGGCAAATAGACAAGTATCAATCAGTATTAATGACTTAGACTGTTATCATTATATCTAAAATGCACTAAACATAATCTATATATAACCGTGTTTACATTGCAAACTAGGCATGGCCTGATCCTTGCTCTGGCCTACATTTTGGTAGAGTGAATGAACTTTGCCGTAGCCTAGGTCAGAAAATCTGGGCTCATTGCGATCGTTGATCAATGCCTGCCTTAACCAAGCCTTGTGGCAATATATAATGTAAACGTATGACAATAGGCAATTCCAGGTATAGACTAAATTTTGATCTAGGCAAGAAGAACAAACTCCATCACCACCGCTAGAGTAGAAAGAGCATGTTAAAATGAGTAAAATTGTGCTGTAATGTTGTAAAATGAATATAGCCCTAGGAAATCTGCAAATTTTGTATTAATTTGTATTACACACGGGAAAATGCACCACGTGCATGCCTAGATCAAAATTTAGTATATATAGCTGGAATCATTCAGTTACTTGGCGTGGCCTTATAGCTTGACTCAGCTAAGACTGGCAGTGTATATAAACATGTTTATTGATGTATAATCCCACTTATATCAAAACCTTAAACCTCTAGCGTGTTTGAATAACTATTGTTATCTGTTTCCTAATATTTACAAAATGCTATTCCTGCCTCGTCCCTCGTCGCTTCAGTTGGGAATAGAGATCAGTGGAAAAACAATGGGAGCGCGGGGCTTAATGGGAATGCGATAGAACGTCGCGACCGCGCGTATGGATGACGGACTGTGGAAGAGTCAGATGCTATTCTTGTGACCTTCAACTACGCTATGTCTAATTTATGCAAAGATGCCCCATGCAGATAAAGAAGTATCGTATATCAACTTCTTGCATTCGCAAGTGTTAAATATACGAAATTCCATCAACGTTCAACGACAAGTGGTTCGGTGGTTCCGCACATAACCGCGTCTACTACTTTTAGTTGAAGTGATTTTGACAAAAGATTTATATATACAAGTTGCCTTGATATTTCACCAAAATCAGGAAGTACTTTTAAAGCCGGCATTCAGGCATGTCTGAACAAGCTATGCCGCCAAGAAGGTCAGTACTAAAACACCGTAATATGATGCAAGATATCTTCACTTCGTCTACGGGATGGCTAGTTCTTGGCGTAATCTTAGCACTTATAAAACCTACGGTAGCTTTGAGTCCTTCTGGGGTTAATGTATGCAGTAGGGAAGAAAGGTGAGTAGTGAATTTATTATTCATTTTCACTTAACTTTAAGTAGGTATAAGCATATAGGATTGCAGCTATAGAGCTATGGTTTCTTCACCCAATATCGACAAAATTTACCGAGTCGATTTTTGAGTTGTGACGTCACAAGTACGAGTTGAGATAATGGCAATAACAAGAAAGTATGATATCTTGGTGAGTATTTAATAAAATTCAATGAAACTTGATACACTTAGGGCCTGTTTATATAGTAGTAGTAGTAGTAGAACTTTATTTATCCTTTAGAGTAGAAGTAGAGTTATTTACAAGTAGAGTTATTTATCCTTTAGAGTAGTAGTAGTAGAACTTTATTTATATGGAAGCCGGGCTGGCCCGCTTAGCGAGACAGCCCGGTAAGCAGGATGAATTTCTGTTGTGTTTATATGAGAAAATTTCATCCCGCTTGCCGGGACAACTTTGTTACATTGATGTTGTTTTGACAGTTGTTAAAAATAGCTTGCGGCGGTATCTTTGAACTTTCATCCCGGCAACGAGTGTATCTAAAAGTCGAGGGTCGAGAGTCGAGAGTATAGGTCGAGAGTCGAGAGTAAAAGTCGAGAGTCGAGAGTAAAAGTCGAGAGTCGAGAGTAAAAGTCGAGAGTCGAGAGTAAAAAGTCGAGA